AGTCTTCAAGCCACACACAGATCCAATGGCAAAAGGTGAAAATCTTTCTGGTTCAAGGGGTTTAAACACAACTTCTGATCAGAGGCTGACTGATAACCTACGCTGAGCCAGGGGTGATCTGTAGGAAACTAGGCTTAAAGATAAAATGGAGGGAAAAAAGTTTGAGCAGAGACATCAGAGGCTGCACAATGCAAGGCAAAAAGACTTCATTGAACTAGTCAAACCAAGTCACTAGACAAACAACAACAATAATGACCCCAGAAGGAGGAAAATCAGTATCCAGAGTTGCTACAATATATTGTCTAAAATATCTATTTTTCAACTAAAAATTGTGAGACATGCAAAGAAACAGGGAAGTATGACCCATGCACAGGAAAGAAAGCAGGCGACAGAAACTGCTTTAAAGGGATCCAGATGTTCGACGTAATAGACAAAAGTTTCAAAGCAGCTGTTATAAATATGTTCAAAGAACTAAAGAAGACTACGTCTAAAGAACTAAAGGAAGATATGATGATGATGTCTCATCAAATAGAAAATATAAATAAAAAGACAGAAATTACAAAACAGAACCAAATGGAAATTCTAGAGTTGAAAAGTATAATAACTGAAATGAAAAATTCACTAGACTCAACCATAGATTTGAACTGGCAAAAGAAAAAATAAGCAAAGTAGAAGATAGATAAATAGAGATTATGCAATGAAAAGAACAAAGAGAAAAGAAAATGAAAGAGAAATAAATTGAGCCTCAGAGAAATGTGGGACACCATTAAGCACATCAACATATATATAATGGGCATGCTAGAAGGAGAGGAGAGCAAGAAAGGAACAGAAGAAAATATTCAAAGAAATAATGGCTGAAAACTTCCCAAATTTGCTGAAAAGAATTGATCTACACATCCAAGGAAATCAATTAATTCCAAGTAGGATTAAAGCAGAGAGCTACACCCAGACATACTATAGTGAAAATGTTGAAAGTCACCAATTAAGAGACAATCTTGAAAGCCATAAGAGAGAAATGACTCATCATATGCCAGAGAACCCCCATAAGATTAATTGACTTAATCCCCAATAAGCTGACTTCTCATCAAAAACAATGGAAGCCCAAGGCCATATTCATTGGGATGAAAAAATAATCCTGTGAATCAAGAAGCTTACGTTCAGCAAAATTATCTTTTAAAAATGAAGGTGAAATAAAGACATTCCCAGATAAACTAAAAATTGAGAGAATTCATTGCTTTGAAAAAGGAGAAAAAGTTGGAGAACACATACTTGCCTATTTCAAAACTTACTAAAAAGCAACACTTATCAAGACTGTGAGGTACTGGCATAAGGACAGACATATAGGTCAATGGAATAGAATTAAGAGTCTAGAAATAAACCTATGTTTATCTATGTTTGAATGATTTTGTCATTGGGGTGTCAAGCCTATCTAATGAGGAAAGAACAGTCTTTTCAACAAATGTGCGGGAACAACTGGATAGCCACATGCAGAAGAATGAAGTTGGGCCTTTATCTCACATGCTACAAAAAAATAACTCAAAATGGATCAAAGACATAAATACAAGAGGCAAAACTATAAAACTCTTAAGGGAAAACAGGAGTAAATCTTTGAGTTTGGCCATAGTTTCTTAGATAGGATACCAAAAGAACGAGCCACAAAATAAAGAGATAAATTGGACTACATTTAAATGAAAAATTGGGGGCTCAAATAATACTCTCAAGAAAGTGAAAAGATAACCCACAGAATGGAAGAATATACTCGCAAATCATATATCTGATGTAGCACTTGTATTATAACATATAAAGAACTCTTAAGACTCAATAATAAGAAGATGAGGTACCCAGTTTAAAACATGGGCAAAGAATCTGAATAAACATTTTTCCAAGGAAGATATACAAATGGCCAATCAGCATATAAAAAGATGCTCATGAGGACAGCCTGGTGATGCAGCGCTTAACTTCGCGCACTCCATCGACTGCGATGGCCCAGGTTTTGCTGGTTCGGATCCTGGGTGCAGACCTATGCACTGCTTATCTAGCCATGCTGTGGCAGGTGTCCCACATATGAAATAGAGGAAGCTGGGGACAGATGTTAGCTCAGGGCTAATCTTCCTCAAAAACAAAAAAAAAAGATGCTTGACGTCAATAAACATCAAGGAAATGCAAATCATAACCACAATGAGATACTACTTCATACCCATAAGGATGGCTATAATCAAAAAGGTGGATAATATTAAGTATTGGTGATGATGTGGAGAATTTGAAACCCTCATACACTGCTGGTGGGAATATAAAATGATGCAGCTGCTTTGGGAAACAGTTTGGCAGTCCCTCAAAAGTTTACACATATAGTTGCCATATGACCCAGCACTTCTATTCCTAGGTACCCACCCAAGAGAAATGAAAACATATGTCCACACAAACACTTGGACACAAATGTTCACAGCATCGTTATTCATAAAAGCCAAAAAAAAAAGGAAATAAATGTCCATCAACCAATGAGTAGTGGACAAACAAAATGTGTTAGCCATACATTGAAATATTACTTGGTCATAAAAGACAATGAAGTACTGATACATGCTAACACATGAATAAATCTTGAAAGCATTATGCTAAGTGACAGAAGCCAGACACAAAAGGCCACATACTGTATGATTCCATTGTTAGGAATGTCCAGAATAGGTAAATTTATAGAAACAAATTTATAGAACGGTGGGAATGGGGTGTGTCTATGATGGGTACCAGGTTTGCTTTTGGAGCGATGAAAATGTTCCAAAATTAGATTGTGGTAATGTTTTCACAACTCTGTGACTACACTAAAAGTCACTGAATTGTGTACTTTAAACGAGTGTATTTTACAGGACATGAAATATGTCTCAATTAATCTGTGTTAGTTATACACGGCTCAGGGTCTCTCATGAGCTCCGTCACAGTGTCGGCTGGGGCTGCGTAGTTGGAATCGCGCATCCACAGTGAGGCACTTATCAACTTGCCTCACCATCATAATTGGAGACTTCAACACCCCTCTGTCAGAAATGGACAGATCCAGAAGGCAGAAATTCCTAAGGACATAGTTGAACTCAAGACTGCAGCTCCCAGCTTCCCTTGCAGCAAGGTATGGCCAAGTAACCAAGTTCTGGCCAAAGGGATGGAAACCAAAGTATCGTCAGTTTACAGGAATCCTTAAGAGACAGCTGTTTCCTGGGATGTGGATGGGAGGTAACCGTAGCTATGGAGGCCACGTAGATGAAAGGACAAGATGGAAGTAGCCGGGGGCCTTGAAGCCACGCAAATTTATCTCTAGACTTTTCTGAGGAAGAGAAATAGGCTCGGTAAGCCACTGTTACTTTGGGAGTTTTGTCACACACAGTGGACCTAAGTCTAAGTAACACCAAACCTGTTAAGAAATAGACCCAGGAGTTGGATTGTGGACAGCAGGTCAGTGTTTAAATGAAAGCTGGATTAGGGACTATGGCTTCACCTACAACCAAAGATGTGCGGTTCTACTATTAGCACGCTCTAAGTCGAGGTCTGGAGCTGATAAGTTAGAAGTGCAGTCTATAGAGCGGACCTCTAGCCAGCCAGAGGTTTCTTAAGTCCTAGTGTGCATGTGAGTCACCTGGGGAGCTTGTTGGAACACACCTTCTGACTCCATGGGTCTAGGGTGGGAGCTGAGAGTCTGCTTTTCTATTAAGTTGCCAAGTGCAAATGCTGCTGGTCCGAGGGTCACACTTGGGGTAGTAAGCATTCATTTCATACCACACTGAAGTCAATCAGAGCCAAATCTGAGCCAGTCCTGGGCCCCACCCCCAGTGCACTTACTGCACGGAGTCTCAGGAGAGGAGTTACCAAGAGGTTGAGAGAAGACGATTCTGACCCGCTCCTTCTCAAACCTGACTGCACGTTGGACACCTGGGGAGCTTCAAAACATGCTGATGTCTAAAGGCCCACCCCCTGAGATCCTGGCTCTGGGGTGATCTGGGAACTGGGAGGTTGAAAAACCTCCCAGGTGATCCCAAGGGGCAGCCAAGGCCGGAACCCACTGCCCTAGAGGACCAGTGTCCTGGGGGGAGTTCTCGTTCATAGGGTGAGGCGAGAGCTCTGGGAAAGGAAGAGTCCCTCCCCGCTGCGGGCTGAGACCGCGGTAAGGTGAGAGAGGCCTCTGCCTGGGTGTTAAGGTAAAGGGGGGCGGGGGTTGGAAACTCTCAAAATTCAGGAATCAAGATAAAAATTTAAAACACTCTTTTTAAATATCAACATTAACACAAGGAAATCCATGATGAATAAAATATCAAAATTTTACATAAAGACGGGTGTGTAAGCGTGCTGTGCAGAGCCATCCTGGAGCGTGAGGCACGAGGAAAGCGGTCATCTTGGCCATAGGCTGCACTCGCCAGCATTCTGTACTCCGAACCCCTCAGGCTAAACAGCCAGCTGTGAACACTGGAGGCAGGGCTGCGCCCCCAGCTTGTGAGCCCCTCGGTCACCTGATCCTGGGGAAAGAGATGGGTGGGTCAGCCTCCGCCCTCAGATGGTTCTGAAATGGGCCACGGCAGTCCTTTAAGTAAATTAACCAAGACCATGAGAAGAAGAATAGCAGACATTTCTTGAGTTCTAGGTGCTTTACAAATATTGACTCATTTAATCCTCACATCATCTTATGAGGGAGGTGCTATTGTTACCCCTATCTGCAGGCAAGGACGCTGGGGCACAGAGGTTCAGTACCTTTGCCCAAAATTAACACAGCAAGTAAGAAGCTGAGTGGGGAATCAAACCCAGACGGTCTGGCTCCAAAGTCCGTGCTCATGACCGCTAGCCTCAATGTTGTGACCCAGGTCAAAACGCTCCCCTCATTCCCATTTCTGTCCCATGGTGTGCAGCATCCCGTCATGGTTTCAACAGAGCTCTGTAACGAATCTGCACAGTAACATTACAAGTACCCTGAAAAAACAACCAATCAACCCCCAAATAACGTCAGTAATAGAATGACCAAATTTGAATAATGCGAACCTTTGCTCTTTATTAAATTTCAGGGAAGAAGTTAAGGTCACCAAATTAAGCTGGAAGTTACAGGTCACAGAAATCTGAGTACTGACCGTTTTCCTATGCTGGTTGTCACTGCTCTGGCGGGGCGGGGGTGGGGCACGCGCCGGAGCGGTAGGGGGCGTCACCGGATCGTGTACTTGTCCCACTTCTTCTCGGGGTCGTAGGGCTCCCAGCGGCTGGCGGGGAAGATGTGCTTGTTCTTCTCGTACCAGCTCCGCAGCACCACCTTGCCGGCGTGCGACTCGTCCTTCTCCATGGTGGCGTCGCTCAGCAGCCGCACGTCGTCGTGCACGTCGAAGTTGAAGAGCGGCCCGCTCTTGCCCCGGGCCTTGGTGACGAGGAAGTCGTAGAAGGTGTGGTAGTGGGGCAGGATCAGGTCCTCCTTGATGTACATGAGCTGCTCCACGCCGGCCGCGCGCAGCTCGCGGAAGTCCTTGCGCAGACCCTGCAGGGCCTTCTTCAGGAACTGCTGCACCGTGCCGCCCTTGTGGATCCACGCCGTGCGCCGGTGCCCCGAGCCGTCCCAGTAGCTGAAGGTCACCTCCATCTCCTCGCGCTTCACCCTCTCGCGCTTGGCCTCCCACTCGCGCCGCAGCTCCTCCCGCAGCCGGTTCTCTTCCTCCTCGCGCTCGCGGTCGGGCAGGAAGCTCGTGTCCACGTCGGGGTTCTTTCCCAGGTGCTTCTTCCTCCTGCTCATCTCCGCCGACTTGGGCCGCTCCCCAGCCGCCGCGCCCTCGGCGCCCTCGTCGCCCTCGTCCAGCGAGAAGGACAGGCTGGAGATCTTGCGCTTGCGCTCCTGCCTGCGCTCCTGCTCACGCAGCGCCTCCAGCCGCAGCCGCTGCGCCTCCAGCTGCTCCCTCTTGGCCAGCTGCATCTCCCGCTCCCTCATCAGGGCCTCCTGCTTGGCCTTCATGTCATTCAGGGTCACCAGACCCACCGTGCTCGACTTCAGCTCGGCCTCCACGGCGTCGTAATGGGCAGAGAATTTCTTGTCCACCTTCGACTTCATGATGGTCTCCTCGGCGATCCGCTGCTTCAGCACCGCCATCTGCTCCTTCTGCTTTTCGCGCTTCTTGATCAGGTGCATGGCCCGGCCGGCCTCGCGCATGGTGCCCTTGTACTGAGCCATGCCCGCTGCTCCGCGCGCTCAGAGCGGCGCCTGCTTCCAGTGCCTTTCTGATGCCTGGGAGTTGCGGGGCTAATTCATGGATTCTGCATCAGTGAAAAAAAAACACCTGAGTTAGAGAGGGACCAAAATAACAGTTTGATTAGTGTCCTAGCTCGGTGCATTCTAATAGAACTTTCCACCATGATGGAAATGTCCTGTAGCTGGGCTGACCCATAGGTAGCCATTTGAGACTATTGAGAGCTTGAAAGGTGGCTAGTGCCATCGAGGCACTGATTTTTTATTTTATGTCAATTAATGTAAACTTAAATAGCCACATGTGACTAGTGGCTCTCATTCTGGACGGTGTAAGGCTGGGTTTTGGGAGCTGCACATGGAGACAACTGGGCTACAGAGCAGTTACCTGTTGAGGTCCCCTCACCTGTCCAAGTACCCCTGGACAAACACAGACGTGCCAGAGTCAGAGCACCCAGACAGCAGGCCTGCAGTGGACCTGGGCCTGGATCCGGGTGTGTTGACCCCGGGAAAACAGAGTCTGAGAGGAAAATGCACCCCACCGTCCCCTGCCGAGGCTTGGCCTGGAGGAGAGAGCACGCATCTCCTCAGCCAGATGCAGGGCTCCACCCAAGGACATGGCAAATGGGGACAGAAGAGGCAGAGAGAAGTGTTTGCCAGTACTTCCCTAGAGGGTGGCAATGCTAACGTGTAAGTTCCTGTTATATGTTACCTGCAAGGCAGGGCCGTGTCCGTTGCTGTCCCCACCTCTCCCGTAAGAATCATGCCTGCAGTGAGTATTTGTTGAGTCCGCCTTATGCCCAGTGCTAAAGTGAGCAGAAGCAGCGTGGTCCAGCCCTGCTCACTGCGGGAAACGGGGCGTCTAGGGAACTGGAGAAGGCATAGGTCATCTAGGTACAAAACTGCCTTCCTGGTGTTCCAGCCAAAGCAGAGTAAGGCCTCCCCCGATCTAACGTGACTCAACTTGAGCAGATGGTCCTCCCTTGGGACCCGTCCCATCCTGCCTCATGCAGCGCAGCTCCCCCTCCTGCTGGACCCTCACCCCAGCGAGCATCCAACCATCCCCTGCCTCCCAGAATGTTCTACAGTGCCCTCTGGAATGCAGCACCTCATCAGCAAGCTGTCCTAAATCCTCAGCCACCTCTTCCTCCCTCCACTGGGACCTGGCTGCTCCCTGAGGAGACCACTTCTCCCCTCACCTCCCTAAAGCAGAGTTTGTCGTCCTCCCACATTCCACAGCATCTCAAGGTCCAAAGTGGGATGAGTGTCTTTGCAGTTTCAAAACCATTTCTTCTATTTTCTTGAAAACTCCCAGCTCCCTTGAAGCACATTGGATCCAGCGATACCAACCCCACTGTTGCTGTCATCTCTAGAATTCCCTGTTCTCCTCCTGAATTCTTGTGGATTAGCACTTGGCTCACCTGCCTTCCTCCTCCATCCGTCACAGTCCTGGATTCTGTCATCAGCATGACCCGGCCAACGCCTTGATCTCCTCACTTCTGATAATCTCTTCCTTTGCCACATCCTAGTTCTTATCACCTTCGGTAAGTGGGCAGCTCCAAAAGCTTAACTCCATCACCTCCTTTCCTTTCCACTTACTGTAGTACCCAACTCCAGCTGTCCTCTGATAACTGAGACCCCACCACCTCTCCAAAGTCATCACACCCTCATGTGCTTAATCCCTCCTTACTCCCCAGAGATTGCACATATTCCTGACTCTCTCATACTCCTTTCCTTCCTGTTGTTCTCACTCGGAAAAACTCTAATCCTGGTTAAACCTAGCCCTTGTCTTCTCAACTCCTAAACTCAGGCAGTGAATATTGCTGGAGACAATGGCACAACCATTGCTGGCTAGTCTGACTTTAAATTCATGACCTCAAACTTCCAGAGGGGACTTAAGACTGCTTAGAAATTCTGTCATACTGCCCCAGTGAGTCTGCTGTCCTGCTCTCCAAGCCAATGACTTCATGCTTCCTTCCTCCTGGACATCCTCACACCTCCAGCTCTCCCCCGCCTCTTCCACTCCCCACAGTGGGCTGGGAAACATTGACCAGCAGCCCACTGGATATAGTTCTTTCTTCTAATTCAAACACAGATAATCTTGGATAATAGAATCCTGCCCCCTCCCAAATTTCATAACTAGTTAGATCTTTTCTGTATAGCAGTTTCGCACAAATGTGTGTTCTGTGAAAAAGGGGATCTAAACTCAGATAACCACGAGAAACTCTGAGTTAGAGAAAGTGTAACAGCTTCTTTACTGTGAGTCTTTGATATGCTTGTTTCCACTCTGACTCTCCAAGAGCGGGTAGAGGATTTCGTGTTTCCCAAAAGTTTTGGATTATTAAATGTTTCTCCCTCTACAGAGTATCTGTTAACATTTCTTGAAACTAGTGGTTCATGGGACCAGTTTGGAAAAACTGGCTGTGAAATACATGCCAGCCTTTCAGCCTAGCCCCTTCTAAAAGCAAAGATGCCTGTGAGCACAACCTCAACAAGAAATTCTTTATTATATGAGGATAAAACATGACACCTACACACCAAGAAGAAAATATCACGGTGGTGTCACCACTCACCAAGTTGGCCAAACAAGAAATCTAGGTGTTTTCCTGGACTATTGTCATAATCAATTACCAAAAAAAAAAAAAAAAAAAAGCCCAAAACACCTCTGATAGATTTTCTTATTCTCTGCTTTCTCATCACTTGCCTTAATCCAGGAATCGTGCTTTTCTTTTCCACATACAGCCTCCTCACAGGTGCCCTCTCATCAGTCTGTTCTCATTCTTGCCTATCTTCTATACACTAGCCAGTGATCCTCATAAGAAGTAAACCTGATAATGTCATTCTCCGACGTGAAAATCTTCTCCAACTCTCCCTTTTAAGATCAAATTGGAATCCTTCATTTTTCCTGCCAGCTTTCTAATAACCGAATCCACTCACCCATTTCCCAATACTCCACGCCACCCAGGAGCCACACTGAACTTTTCACTGTTCCTGAATAGAAGATGCTCATTCATAACTCTTACCTTTGGACACACTCTTCCTGGAAGTCCTGCTTGACACTGCCAGCCCTTAAGATCAGCTCGGCTGTCGTCTAAAGAAAACCTCTAGCACCCTCCATGCCACCCCACCCACAGATGCACAAAGTTACCCGTCCCCTCTTCTCTCCAGGCACCCCTCTGATTACCTTTATTAGATATAACATAAATCAGATTGCTTGGCCACCTCCTTTTTCAACTAGATAATCCAACCAGCCACACTGTAATCCAATCAACTGTGGAATGGCCACATCTACTCTAATTAGTCTTCAATCTAATCAGAACCTGAATGTCAACATAGTCTCCAAACCTCATCATCCCTCTTCCTGTTCTCCAGCATCCATCCTCTTAACTCAATCACAGCCTCCAAATAGCATAAACAGCCAGCCCCAGAATTTAAAAAGTTAGTCTGAAATTCTTCAAAGATGTTGACAAGAAAAACAAATAACAGAAGGAAGCAGATTTATCCTAAGAATCTGAAATCCTGATTTTAAGAATTTTCCCCACAAGTTCCAAGATGGTAACCATTTGTGGCCTCAATTCTCACTGTAAAGTACCCCACCAAATTCAAGCTTCTTGCCATAAACTCTTTTAAACTTTATCGACAATAGCAGCAGAAGCAGGGAGGGAGCAGCAGTCTGCTCCAGTGAATCTGAAATGCTGGTTAAACAAACACACAATTGGAATTTAGAGACTATGCAGCCTGCTCCAGGCTTAGTCACATGGTGAAACACATGTGCAGACAAAACAGCAGCAATTCTTTAAAAAAGCCCACAGCAGGAAAAGGCTACTGCTGTAACTAGCTTAACAGCAAAAAAGGGGGAAAACGCAGTTTCCATTGCAAACAACAACAAAACAGAAAAGAACACCTTTTGTCATGAATGGTTTTCAACTTGCCTTCCACCAGTGTGAGTTCTGATTTAAAATGATAATCCTACGAGTGGCAGATGTACTTCCCTCTCCAGAGTCAGCCTTCATAAGGACAGCTGATGGAGGAACAACGTCTCTAAAGGGCCCCTTCCCAGTCAGCCCAGATTGGGCCTGGGGTGTGCTTCCTGGTAGCATTGTCGCTCAGGGATCCCTCCAATCATCATCGTATTCTGAACCAGTTCAAGCAGGTCTTGAACTAGCCACAGGATCTCCCATCCAACCAGATGTGCCCCCCCGCCCCCAAAAAAACCCAACAAACCAGCACATGACCTCTGAAGAATTCTGTCACTGGAACAGAACTCCTTCATAGAATATTTCTAAATGAATATAAAGAGTTTTTATTGTGTGCTTTCTAGCAAGAGGTTAAAAAATGTCTTCCAGGGCCATCCTGGTGGCTTAGTGGTTAAGTTCACGTGCCCCACTTCTGTGGCCTGGGGTTCACAGGTTTGGATCCTAGGTGCAAACCTATGCGCTGCTCATCAAGCCACGCTGTGGCAGCATCCCACGTATAAAATGGAGGAAGGTTGGCACAGATGTTAGCTCAGGGCCAATCTTCCTTGCTAAAAAATAAAAAAATGAAAAATGTCTTCCAACATTTGCTTGGGAGAAATCCAATATTTTAGGATGCTGCTGGGTTAGGGAAAGAACCCTCCTGTGTTCAGAGACAGGGAAGTGCAGAATAAACTAGATGGAAAGAGCTTGGACAAACAAGCCAGGACTTCTGTATGTGTTCACTGGGAGAAAAGAAAAGAAACCTAAGGGAAGATGTCATGGATTTCAAAATAGATTCTGCACCATAAATGTCTCTGAGTTTTGTGAGATTTAAGTTGTTTCCTCGGTTTTTATCAAAGTAATACATATGCGTGGTTTCAAAAGAAGAGTAATGCTAAAAGGATTATTTTAGCAAACAAAAGTTTCCAGCTTTATCACCTTCCCTAGGGGCAGTCGCTTTTAACCCTTTCAGATGTTTCTTCTCATATTTACCTTCTTATTTTTCAATAATTCTTTTATTGCTATTTTGTGACTAACCAATTTTACTTTATCTTTTGACTTCTTATGGTGGTTGAAGATTTGATTTTTCTCTACAATAGATTGAAATGTCTGGC